GATCAGATTTGGGTTATCTTTTGTTGGACTGTCTAGTTGTTTGCACCAGCTAGGATTGCGCTTGTCAAATAACAAGACGAGGTCCGCCGAGTCCGAAATCTTCACCATGTTGACAACGGAACGTTGCATGCCTTCCCCGGTCCTCCGGATCGTAGCTCGCATGGGGACACACTGCTTGTTCAGCTCAACTTGAGCACTTAGCTTGCGGGTTTCTGCAGCTGTTTCTGGCTCCAGATGCTTCAAAAGCCGGTAGGTATCCTTTCGAACAGCGCTCAACCTTGTGGTATGATCTTGGATCTCGTTTTCGCCACCGCACACGCGAATTATAATCGCAGTGTTGGCTGGGAAAACCGAAGTGACGCGTAGGAGATCCCATGCATCAATCTGAACGGCAGCTAGGTGCGGCGCCTCGCTTGTCTGGAACTGCAAGATGATGGTCGGTACGTTCCCGTGCCATTTGCTTGCGGTAACCGGATTACAGAGTTTTAGGGACTCATAGTATCTTGATTTCGTCTGCGCATAAGTCTCCGAAACGCGAGAATCAAGTCTCTTGAACATTGCCTTGGAGGATTGGATGGAACCAGTACGCAGAAGTAAGGTAAAGCGGCTTTGGCGTAGAAACGATGGTGCAACGAGATTGCGAAGCTGAGAATTGACTTTGAGCATGCCGGGCTGTTGGCCAAGCGTGACACCGTTGTGGAAATCGTACGTGAATTCGTGATCGCCAAGTGCAAGACGAGTGATGGTATCTTGGACACGGTAAGATAAATCGAACATAGTCAAGGGGCTTGTCCGAGGAACAATTTGGTATCGCCGAGTCACCATTGACATCTCAAACGCGTGCCACATAGAGCCTCCCCAGTCAGTCGATCGATACGCAATCCTGCCTCTGGTACCGGACGTATACAGATAGACAGATTTGAGCAAGCGACGCGTTTTCTGCAAATCGAGTGCATCGTTTTTTCCTAGCTCAGAAAGAACGTTGGCGATGGATGATGCGTCATGCTGTTCCTCTTCGAAGTCGGATTCGTAGTCATCTAATTCATCGTCCTCGGCCATTTCAAACATGACTGATGTGTTGCGTGTGTCGCTGTTCCAGAAGACGTCCAGTAAAGGCAAGACGTCTATCGCCTGACGGGAATATTTGCGCACATCTCTTCCGAACATCCAATCTTCATACTTCTCCGGTATCTCGGGCACGTTCAGGTTAATGCTGATAGTGCGCAGTTTCGGAAGACAGGAGCCAATGTCTCCTATCCATCTTTTGCATACGTTGATGGGACTAATGATCTTAACCTTGAAAAGGTCGTCCTGTATGTTGTGTTGGAAGCGGAACGCATTCCGGCTGTAAAGGAGACCGACTGCCTCATGATAGATCTGACGACAAGTACGAAGGATAGCAGAGCTTCCTATGGAGGTAGAAGTCCCTTTGGTTACCTTGGTCTTTGTGTACTCAACCGTGGTGATCTCGATCGTTATAGGGCAGGGTTCCACAAGAAGATACTCGTAGATCTGGTTGCGTAGCTCAGGCGCGATAGTGAGTAGTGAGGGTACATCCGGTGCCACAGATCCGGAGCACGCTTGCGCGATGCGGTTGCGCTTAGGATCTGGGACTGGAAAGTGCATGGCTGCAGTTCGAGACGGTGATTGGGCTGGTGTTCGAGTGCCGCGGTCGGCGTAGGTGCGACTGGCAGTCATTAGTAAGTGCACAAATACCATACCCGTAATGAGCGAAGAACTTACGGGATAGCCTGCAGCGTTGTTGCAAGCGCTTGCGACACGACTTATCGCAATGTATTGCTGTGTTTCTGTACAAGACGACAGAAACGGTAGAGAGCAGGTGAGCGTCGGAATTGTGGAAGTTAGTGAGGTTGTAGCGCTTGGACCTCGCTTGTTCTGGAAGGAAAGAGCGACGACGGTTGTCCCAGAGCGCGAAAGACGTCTCTCACTCACCTGAATTACGTCATGTTGAAGCGATACCTCAGAAAACGTGATGACAATGAGTGACTGCGAAGCCTGATGCCAAAGAAGGAGCGACGATAACTATCGCATGAGAGGACGAGATACCCTGCTGCGGATGGTTACACTTCCAATGCGCGCAGATACCAGCAACATGAGTTGCATCTTCATAACAGCAAGACATCTGCATTCAACCCAACAATATCTAAATACGACCCCTCTCCAGAAATTGCTTCGGCAAATCCACAGTCTTCGCGCGCATGTATTCCATAGCATCTGCCACACCATTAGTAACTCTCCCACGAACAAACACACGCTGAACTTACTCTTCCCCAAAGTATCATACGAAGAACACGTATTATACCCCCCATCCCTAAGATGATCATGCAGCAAAAAATGCACCGACCGAATCCCCGCAATCTCAAACCGGTCAATTGGCTTGCCCTGGTACTCGTCCTTACCCAAAAGCTGCTTAACGCGCTCGATCGTCATGAACGAGCGAAGCCAATCCCACTCATCGTCGTGGCGCACGAAGAAGCCGCAGTTGCAGTCTGATGCTTTGTCTCCAGAGCGGCCGGCGACGATGTAGCCTAGTGGTGCGCGAACGGTTTCGCCGAAGGAAGTTAGGTCGGCTGGGGAGGTGGTCTCGTAGGAGGCTTGTTGGCGGGGGTATTCTTTTGTGATGGCTGGTGGGCTCAGGTCGGTGGACGTTTTTTTGCCGTACATGGTGTGAACGCGTAGGGGGAGTTGGTCTTGGGGGAGGAGCGAGACCCAGTAGTCGTAGTACGGCTTTGGTGCGATCTGGCGCAAGTCGTTCGATAGCGACAGACCGGGGGCAGATTGGAGGAATACTTCGAGACACCAGCGGTTGAAGCCGTTGGGGATGTCGGGTCGTACTAGTTCGGGGTCGGAAGTCTGGGCGAAGATGCGGAAGTCGACTGTTGCGACGTCTTGGTTGCGGGCATCGATTGGCGAAGAGCCGTTTTGGTGGAATCTGAGTGTCTTGAAGCGGTTTACGTTTTCGCCCATGGCTGCTCATGTTAGTCCCGCGTTGCGTGTGTGTGTGTGGACAAGACGTGTGCTTACCGTAGCGGATTTGGTCTTCAGTAATCTTGCACTTCTCCTCAATATCGAGACCGCATACAAACATATGCCACTCGCATTGCCAGCCGGCTGGAGCGGTAATACCTACCTTGGTCGTTGGTGGCGGGGGAAGACCCTTGACTCCCGTGACACGCACAAGATCCTCACCCACTTGCTCCATCTTGACGTCTGTGATATCGGCCGTAACATCACAGTTGTAGTATAGTGGTCCCTGGATCTCGTATAGCAGCTGCGAAGTGCATGTTCCGACGGTCACGCAACCTGTTCGTGTTAGTCGTATGATTCTCCGACTCAAGGTGCTTTCGCTTACCTCCGGTATCTTTCTCTTTCGCAATATTGAAGCTACCATCGTATTCGACCTCTGCAATAGGAAAGCCCATGTTGACGTGCTTCCCAGTCTTCATAAGGTCTTTGAACATGGAGTAGTATCCTCCAGTAACGTAGGCTGAACACTCTACAAGATGGCCTGCAATGAGCGCTCCGGCAAGTTCGTCAAATTGATCGTTCTTCCAGTCATGCCACCACCTGATCACGTTAGCTGAGGTCAAAAATACATTGTTGTAACTTACGCCGCAGCACCAATGACCGGCGCAGCATCTGCAAGCCTTCCACCAAGCACGATATCAGCACCCTGTCGAAAAGCCTCTGCTATGCAAAGTCCTCCTAAATACGCCTGTGCGCAGATTGGCTGCATTCCCCATTCCTCCAGCTTCTTGCCATGCATTAAGCTTTCGAACTTCTCTCCCTTTTTGATAAGACTGTTGACCTGTCCCGTCACATCGTCTCCTTCTATCCATGCCACTTTGAGGTGACCAGCACCCGCTTTCTCCAACATATCGACTACAACTTCCGCGAGAAGTTCGGTATCTGAAGCACCAGCATTCACCGCGAGCTTCGTCTTGTTCTTGACTAGATTCGGTATCGCTGGCTCGAGGCACTGGATGAAGGTATCGGCGTACATGGCGTTCTTCTTCCGGTCTTCAAGGCTCGTCGTGCCATTGGTGCTCTTCGTGGGCTTCTGCTTTACTTTGCCGCTACCATGTACGGTCATGGTCATTTCGGATAGCCAATCGCCTGTTCGTGTCAGCTCAAAGTCCTCCATAGCCAGCGTTCAGGGGGGTCTTACCCATCACAACATCAACCTCCGGATCACCCGCCATCCTCATAATAGCAGTCGAACGATCCGTAAACCCTCCCGAGCATCCTGCGATGCGCACAGCGCGCTTGCGGTCAGTAGAAGGAGACATTTTCACTCGTTTGGGGTTCGGCGCCATATAGAACTCGTGTCAACAATCTGAGATCAAGATCAATTGCTCCATGACGGAGGCTCTCAAAGCTATATACCAGGCCGTCCAGGACCAGCTTTCCGGGGTACGGCAAACCATCGAGGCTCTTGCAGGGCCGTTCCTCTGGTATCGTCCAATGGCGGCTATGCACAAAGGTAGCGCGGCACTCATGTCATGTACTGGGAGCTACTTGCGGATAATCTTGAACGATGGAAGACGATTTCCTGAGAGCTTATGGCGGGGTTGCGGGGAAAGAGACGGACGCGAGCGCGCTGTGCTGTTGGAGGCGCAGGAAGCCATTTTCGTCGCGATATAGTAGAAATCGTACATTCGGTGCAGTTTCCTTTTGGTTGAAATGTCGGTTCGCGCACCCAGCATGCGCGTGCTTGACGTTCGCGAGTTGGCGAAGTAGGAGAGCACGAGGGAACGGTAACGCGCGATGTTCGCGATTCGGCTAACGAGTCATTCTAGCCAGCAACGAGGTTCTGTATGACTCGCCGACTATGTCCAGCTTCAGGAAAGAGCGCTCCAGCCATCATCTTGGGTCTAGCAACGTCACTGGTGAACCACCCCGAAGAAAAGCACAAACTGATCGAAGCTGTCTATACATTGCATCCAGAGACTACACACATATTCCAGTCTCCCAACCATTCAAGGCGCCAAATTCTCAATCACCAACCATACCCCCATCTTTCCCTCTCCTCCCTTCTCAGACCCCTCTCGCGCTTTCCCACCAACCGCCATGGCCTTCACCCCCCTCTTCTCCCTCTTCATCTCCTCTCTCGCCTCCCGCCACTCCCTCTTCACAGCCAATCTCTCCTTCTTCAACTCCTTCCTCTGCACTTTATACTCTTTCTTCGCAGCCTTCCATTCCGGATCCTTCTTGGATTTGGATTTACCTTTGCCCTTGGTGTCGGTGTGTTTGGCTTTGGCTTTGAGTTCGCGTTTCTTGGCTTTGTGGTCTTTCTTGAGTTGGCGGTTCCGTTGTTTGATCTGGCGGCGTGCGACTCTGAGGGCTTTGGTCTTGTCGGTGGTGGCAGGGGTGAAGTCGGAGTCAGAATCGTATTCAGAATCAGAGTCCGAGGACGAGTCTGAACTATCTGATGATATTGAGGAGGTATCGTCGTCGTCATCCAGGTCCTTGACTGCAGCTTTGCCCTTATCCTTCTTGTCGGTGGGGTATGCCGTGTCGATTTTGCGGTCGCCGTATAGCACGCCTGTTTCTTGGCCCGGTGGCGTATCGTACGCAGGTGGTAGGTCGTTGTGGACTTGCTCGTACGAGGCAGGACCTGAGGTAGTAGGCCCTCTGTTCCCACTCATACTCACACTTCCACCTGCATTTCCACTAGCCATCCTACCCACCTCCACCCCGAAAGCACTAGCGCGTTTACCGATCTCAACACCCAAATCACCCATGTGTTTACCGAATTGCTCCCCAATCTTTCCTAATTCTTTGCCTACTTCTGCCCACTCGTTTCCGGATTGTGGTGGTCCACGTCCACGTCCACGTCCGCCACGAGAGGAGCAGCCTCCTCTACCGAAGAAGGTGTTGCCTCGGGGCCCGAATGGTCCTCGACCGCCGCGCCCGAAAGGCCCATTGCCAGGTGTACCAAAAGGTCCGTTGCCAGGTGCACCGAAGGGGCCATGGCCTGGCATACCAAAGGGTGACCAGTGACCGCCTCGTCTGCCGCGAGGATGATGGCCACCCCGTCCGTGTCGACCATGTGCGTGTGAAGACTCCTCTGGAGGTCCAGGAATGGAGTGAGGTGGGTCTTCATATGTTCCAGCAGATCCTAGCGCCCTGTTATGCGACGATGTGTTTCCAACATAATCAGGCGAGCCAGTAGCCGTCTGACCCGAGAACCGTTCACTCATCTCATGCAGCTTAAGCACTCTCTCGCTCGGCATCGGCACTGCGTCAGCGTCGAGAGCTTCGATCCAGGGGTATAATTGCCTTGCACGCCATTCAGCCGTTGCAGACTTATCGGCCAAGTTGGCGAGAACGGTGGGTTTGTGGCCCGCAGGTATAGGTAGCATATCCAGAAGCGCAGTCTCGCTGCGGAACGACACAATCAGACCTCTCGGCGCGAAGAAAGCTTCATTCGCTCCTCGAATGTAGTCGTGTACGATGCTGGAAGAGAGTCCTTCATGCGTCGATTCGTGTAGCAAGTCTTCGGCCGTCGTGTGCGCGGCTGTAGTCAGGACCTGTAGACCGTACAAGAACTCTGCAAACTCGGCTGGCTTGATGGAATGCCGGTCCAACACTTCAGCGTACGCAACTAAGAAGTATACGTGTTCATCTGCACGTCTTGCCGGTCCTGCATGGTCAGGTATCGCGATGATGCGGTTTAGATGCGGAGCATACTGCGCCTTAGCATCTGGTTCTTCACGGCTGAACTTCAAGGCTTGGGTGAGCAAGTCAGAAGCCAGATCGGGCTGTTTGCTCGACGAAGAAGTAGGTTCGCTATGCACTCGTCCCACTGCGATGTTCTCACTCGTACTGACATGCTGGACTGGGACACTTGTGGCCTTGTCGTTTGTATGATTCGCATAATCCGGCGCTTGTTCCTGTTCACTTGCAGGATCTGGTTCTTCGCCTCTTACACGGTACTCCCATACTTCTGGCTCGTTTGGTCCTTCATTGGCAGTAATGCGATGGGCTTCGATTTGGCTGGGGTCTACGGGCGCGATGCCATGACGCGTGTCGTGGACGGCTTGGTCCCGCGCCTCGTCGTAGGATGGTGGCAAATCTTCATACTGGGGACCGCCTGGGCTGTGGACGGGGGTTGGCTCAAACTCGTTGTCGGAGGAGTCGGCGATGGAGGTTGCGCTTGGTGTAAATGCGACGTTGGACTGTGATGATGCCGATGGGAGTGGTGGGTTGGAGGTGAGGTTGGTATTGGCGGGGTATGATGGTTGGCCGGCCATGATCAAAGTAAATCACAAAAGCCAGTGTTGAGTCAATGTGACGATGTAAAGTAAGACGTGGAACTTAGAGAAAGCGTACTTAAGGTTGAGGCGTAAAGGACGAACTAGAAGCTTGTTTATTCGTACCTACTCCACTGACCTGCACAGCCTCACAGAAAGCTGCTGCCTTCAGATGCGGGGAGATGCCCAATCGCAACTTCCAACTCGAAACCACGCGTTTTGTCTAGCAATATTCAACGTCCAGTAAGACGACACAACTTGTCAGATATGACGCGTGGGCAAGAGGGCCGCAGCTGCGCAGCAATTGAGTTGGGAAACGGTGTGTGAGAGCGGGGCTGGCCGTGGCGTAAGCCTCGGGCGTCTCTGTGGCCAAAGAGCCAATTACAAGACCCAAGCCTCTCCTGTTTCGGCACACCAAGATGTTAGAGCTGAGAGAGCGCATCATGTGTGTTATACAGTAAAGTATGTAAGATATAGATGTATTGGCGGAGTGCGCGACGTTGAGTGTAGCCTTGGTCTTCCCTTCCACTTGTGTCGGACTCGCTCGGCCTAACAACACGGCCGTAAGGTCCACACGCGATATCTAGAGTCAACTCGCTTTCCGCGTGAGAGTGGTCGCGTTACGGTCACCGAATCTACTAAACAACACGATTGTTGCGGAGTCAAGTGCGATCACTGTGTTGCTCGGGAGAGCAGGTGGCGAAAAGCGCACGCGAAGAGCGCGAAGGACGCATCATCACGACTAGCATCATGGAGGACGCTCCCACTGTAGCAGTCATAGGACTAGGTAGAACACCTCTTACTTGACACAACGAAGCCACTAACCGAACCTCTCAGGACCGGCTGGCCTCGTAGCATTGAAGAACCTGCGAGAAGAAGGATTCCACGCCACAGGTTTCGACCGCAACGACCACGTCGGCGGATTATGGCAGTACTCAGAGAAAGAGCAAACGTCGGTAATGCAAACCACAACCGTAAACGTCTCAAAAGAGCGATCTTGTTACACTGATTTCCCTTACCCGGACGACGTACCGTCGCATCCAGCGGCTACGCAGGTTCAGCAATACTTGACAGACTATTCGAAGCATTTCGGACTGGAACCTTATATGCGGCTTAATACTGCCATCGAGCAAATCACGTTCGATGACGAGCGGGAGAAATGGGTTGTAGATGTGAAAGGTGGCGGGAAGGAGTACTTTGATAAAGTTGTTGTAGCGATTGGGGGTATGGTTGGTAAGGCCAGTCTGCCAGTCATAGAAGGCGTGGAAAGGTTTGCTGGACCTAGTGTACACTCGCAAGCTTTCAAGCGGCCGGCAGACTACAAGGGGAAGAGAGTCATGGTTGTAGGGTTCAGCAACAGTGCGGCGGATACATCTACTCAGCTGGTGGGAATAGCAGATAAAGTGTATTTGGCACATCGGCATGGAGCTCGGGTTGTAAGTTGAAGCGTACCTTGTTGATTTGCAAAGGTCTTGAGACTGACAATGGTTCTTGTAGTTCCCGCGGCGCATAAAGGGTGTCCCGATAGACCACACGCACAACCTACGTCTCGCCACCTTCCAAAGCCTCATCATAACGTACTTCCCTCGCCTCGGCGAGTTCCTCTTCGATAAATTCCTCAAGAAACTGCAAGACCAGAGTTTCAACATCCGCCCTGAATGGCGCTTCGAGCCCGCAAGTAAGGTACCAGTGGTATCTGATACGTTAGTCCCCTGCCTCGAGGACGGCAGCATCACATCAGTCGCAGGCATCAAGCGCATTGTGAATGCTACTGAGGTAGAGTTGCAAGACGGGACAAAAGTTGACGTGGACGCAATAATCTGGTGTACGGGCTACAAGTCCGACTTCAGCATGATCGAGCCGCGTTTCAATCCTGAATGTCGGCCTCAAGCGTGGCTCGACGCGCCGGGCTCGAATGGGAAGTCACTCTTCCGTCTCTACAAGAACGTGTTTTCACTCGAGAAGCCGGATAGCCTGGCGTTCATGGCTACTGTTCACATCACGATTAGTGGGTTTAAGATCTTCGGTGAGCAACTCTAGGTATCATGGTTAGGCGAGACGTGTGCTGACGACGACTAGACTTGACAACCATGGCTATAGCCCAGGTCTGGGCGGGCAAATCCTCTCTACCCTCACTTCCGGATATGAAGCTTGCTGTGGATGAACACCACATACGGTTAGCAGAGACGGCAAAGCGTGTTTACAACTTGTCGCCAGGGCAATGTGAGACAGGTGATTGGGTCGCGGCCATGGACGAGCTTGCCGGTACGGGTGTTAACGAGTACCTGGGATACGGGTGGAAAGGCTGGCTGTTTTGGCTTCAGAACAGGAGGTTCTGCAACCTGCTGATGGGCGGGATATGGAGTCCGCACATACATCGCGTGTTCAGCACAGGCAAGAGGAAGTGCTGGGATGGGGCGAGGGAGGCGATTGAGAGAGTAAACGAAAGTGTTGCTAACATGAGGAAAGAAGAAAAGAAGAAGAGTGGTTGACGACAGCTCGGGGTTCTGGTTCGCGAAGGTGCCAGGGCGTGCTCGAATGTTCTCTCATGAGCTTCCCCACACATGACGACAGGCTGTATCACGAGGGTCCATGGCCGTCACTTTTTGCATGGCGCAGTACATATGCCTCGCGACGAATATCTCGAATATACTCTATAGCTACCGAATCGAAATCAACATCATCGCATTCTTACACGGCCATTACAGTTGTCCAGGTGACGTGAAAGGGTAAACCTTGGTCGGCATACCACAAGGCTGACAGTCAACCAATCGCAGCACGGGCCGTTGCACAACAGCTGGGGAAGGCGCGACGGGCAACAGCCAATTTCGATTTCCTTCCACACGCCACGCCACACACATTGAAACACGTCAATCGCGAGTTATATGGGCAGAGGCATTGTCTGCACCCGAACACACCACGCGAACCGCTTCCATCCAAACATCCACGAGCCCGGAATGGCGACGCAGACGCTGCACGGCTCCTGCGCGTGCGGACGCAACCGCTATGTCATTGAGATGCCGACACAGCAGATCCGCCAGGCCGAGCTGCGATACGACAATACCTCTGCGTCGCGTAAGTACACGCCGAGTGTTGTGCAGCCCAAGTCTGCTTTGGGTTGCCGCGCGCTACTCCCCAACACGGTGCTAACAACATTCTAGGACACCACTCAGCGAACCCCCTCACACTCTGGCTCCGCGTCCCTTTGCCATGGTACACCTCGGCCACGTTTGCCCAATACCCCGACGAGACGCGCCTGAGCATCAAGCGCAGCTTCGTCAACCCCTACACTTCGAATACCCGCCGCCAGTTCTGCGGATACTGCGGCACACAGCTCTCGTCATGGAATGAGCGGACGAGAGACGAGGCCGAGCACATCTCCCTCACAGTCGGCAGCCTGCTCGACGAAGACCAAGACATGCTCGGCGAACTCGGCTTCCTGCCCAGCAGCAGCGAGAGCAGCGACGACGAAGACGAGACATCCGCCGCCGGACCCTCACGGACAAACCGCCCGCGTACAGTCGTTCGCTCAGAACCTCAATCGCGAGGTGCGCCCTGGTTCGAAGAGATCGTGCGCAACACCCGCCTGGGCCGCTTCAAGCAGCAGCGCGGCGGACACTCCGAGAGCGGCGTGCACGTCGAGTGGGAAGTCACCGAGTGGACCGAGGGCGACGACAACGGCGACGAGGGCAGTGCGACGCCTAGCAAGCGGAAGATTGGCGACGTGGACGATGCCGAGGATACCGAGATGCGCAGCGCGTGAGCCTACTTTCTTTCACACGGAATGAGTTGGATTGAAGACGGATTGAATATGTCACTAGAAACGGATATCGCTCACGCGTAAATGAGGACGAAACGTATGTAATCACTGGACCTCTGGCAGAGCGACATGACTTGGGAACATGGAGTTGAAGGTGCGTTTGTTTATTTTGTGTACAGTATCTAAGAAATATAGCCATGGGAAGGTTGTAGTGACATGCGCTATATGCTATGTTTGTTGTTTTGTAGTTGACCCTATTACGCGGTAAACACAAAACAAGAAACATAGCATATAGCGCTTGTCACTACAGCCTTCCTATCCGGCGCATGTCACCTAAAAAGCTGTGGTGACAATGCACTGGACGTGGGTGGACCAATCTACTTTCTTTTTCGCTGAAGACATTTGTACTTCCCGACCGCACAGCCATTGTCAGCGTATCACGCCTTGTTTCTCCATGGATCTCGAATTTACGCCCCAATGTCACTGCATCGCATGTATCAAGTCGCACGACCAATGGAGCCGATTAGGACGCGTGGGGTATAGCACGGGCGTAAGCGGCTCGATCATGGCGCCGTCTTCCGACCTGTGGACGACACCCATCACACCACCATGTAGGCGCTAATACGGGGAGAGCAGAACGAGAAACCGTCGCATCTCAACTCGATTGTTCCACTAATCTTGCGAGTCTGGAAAAAAACATTCTAACAACATCTCCCGATCTCACCTCCAAACCTCCAAACCCGTCGGAGTAATCACTTATCTCGCCTTACGCCACCTCGTTACACAAGCCATGCAAGATATCTCCGCATTCCCCAAGTCGCCAGCATATCCGCCTATCTCCCGGGATGCCTCTCTCCACCAAACCTCACTACCCTCTTCCCCATTGGTCGAATTTACAGTTCCTGCACCAAATTCCCGGGATCGTTGGTTATCTTACACCCCTGGTCCACCATCGCTCGCCTGAGGTTCTCTTATCAGTCCGACATGCATGACTGCGACACAACGTGATTAGTGTTCCCTGATGTCTGATATCCGTCACCCGTCTCCACGGTATCCATTCCAGCTGCGGGAGTGCGGAGATGGTCGGATGCGAACGTTGCACTTCGCTACACTCATGTAGCCTGGTCTTTTTCTGGGTTGGAATGGTTTGTTGGGTCTGACTTTGGCGTGACGGCCGTGACCGGGGCGTAGAGACGGCATCTAGCACTGGGTACACAGCTACTAACTCGAGATTGCATGGTTGCTGGTAGGGCTGCTTTATCTGCCCGTCTTGGAAATGTTGTCGCGTCGCTTAGCATACGTACTTACGTGTAGATGTCACTGTTATGTTTGACACAACCCAACGTAACGACAGAGATAGAGGCGTGCGAAGTCGCGGGCCGTCATAAGAGTAAGACGTGAATTGCACATTTCCTTCCTTCTTCCTCTGTGTCGTTACACTCTTCTTAGCCAGGTTCATCGTCCTTTCTTTCGCCATCGTTCTTTGCTTCCTTATCTCTTGGGCGGGGCGTTTGCTTGTACGATTCCCGTGTAGGACCGTTTGATCTGCGATCGACACGGCGAGTCCACTCGATTGCTCACTCGCTTGGACTTGATCGATTGGTGGTATTAATCTCCGGTTGGCCGCGTCTAGGCAGAGAGGAGGGTTGTTATTGTGGTTACGTCGGTGCTTATCGCTGTTGCGTATATCCTAGTCATTAACGACCTCCTGCATACGCATTGCATCACGTCGCAATAGCAAAACTTTCACGGTTACTGGCGTATCGTTCACGCTGTACTACCACTTCCGAAGATGGATCTGGAAAAGAAGTCTGCCCAGAAGTCGAGACCGGAGGATGTCGATGAAGCGACAGGCGTTGGCGAAGTCCTGAACGCGTCGGGTCACAAACAGGAACTTGAGAGGAATTTCAGTTTGTTGAGTATCTGTGCGATTGGGATTACGACGGGGAATGTTTGGGCTGCGTTGGGAGGGTCTATCGTACGTCTATCTTCTTCTCTGGTACGATTTCATGGGATACAGAATACTAACCTTGCCTAGGTAATTGCGCTCTACAATGGCGGCCCAGCAGGTGTCATCTACGAATTCATCGCCGTAGCATGTTGCTACTTCATGATCGCAGCGTGTATCGCAGAGATGGCATCTGCAATTCCCTCATCAGCGGGTGTATACCACTGGGCATCCGTCACAGGCGGAGCCAGATTCGGTAAGGTAATCGGGTTCTACGCTGGCTGGTACGTATCACCCAACCCACTTCAACAAACCATATGATACAAGAAAAGAGCACAGCTAACACACCACAGGTGGAACGCCCTAGGCTGGATCTTCGGCACAGCATCCATCTCCTCCATCCTCGCCAACCAAATCATCTCCATGTACGGTCTCTACCACCCCGGCTACGCCTTCGAGCGCTGGCACGTCTTCATCGCCTACCTCATCATCACCTGGCTCGCCTGCTTCGTCGTCATGTTCGCTAATCGCGCGCTGCCTAAACTAACAAACATCGGTCTCTTCTTCATCCTCATGGGTGTGTTTGTTACCATCATGGTCTGCGCCATCATGCCCAGTAGAACCGGAAAGGGGTACGCGAGCAACGAGTTTGTGTGGAAAGACTGGCAGAACCAGGCGGGGTGGAAGAGCGATGGATTTGTGTTTTGCGCGGGCATGTTGAATGGGGCTTTTGCTGTGGGGACGCCGTGAGTTTTATTGCATCCCATCATTCTAAGGCCACCACGGTCAAATTCAAAGTCGACATACTAACAACCACCCCCAGCGACTGCGTATCCCACCTCGCCGAAGAACTCCCCTCCCCCCGCACCAACATCCCCAAAGCCATCCTCGCTCAATACACCGTCGGTTTCCTAACCGCCCTCCTCTACCTGATAACAATCTTCTACGCCGTAAACGACCTCGACACGCTCTTCTCGAACCCCTGGCCCTTCCCCCTTGCCGAGCTATACCGGCAGGCCACAAACACGCACGGCGGCTCCCTCGGCCTCTTACTCGTCATCTTCGTCCCGACGTTCTGCACGAATATCGGATGTTATATTACGTCTGGCCGCATGCTGTGGACGCTGGGCAGAGATGACGCGACGCCGTTTAGCAAGTGGGTCGGCAAGGTGGATAGGAAGTGGGAGAATCCGTTTAATGCGACGTTGGCTTGTGGGGGTATCAACACAATCCTCGGATGCATTTACATCGGGTCCAGCACCGCGTTCTCCGCCTTCGTAGGGTCCTTCATCGTGCTGAGCTCGATGTCGTACCTCGCTTTCATCCTACCCAATATCCTTACTCGGCGCCGCCACGTCATCTCGGGCCCGTTTACGATGCCCACGCCGGTGTTTTATACGGTTGCGAGTATAGCGTGTGGGTACATGGTTGTGTGGATACCGATATACTGCTTCCCGTTCGCGGTGCCGTTTGATACTACGACGATGAATTATACGAGTGCGCTTGTGGGCGGGGTTACGATTTTACTTGGGGGCTGGTATGTGTGGATAAGGAAGAGGGGGTATGTTGGGCCGAGGCGGTTGGTGGAGACGTTGGGGAATGGGGAGGCTACGATTGTGGGTGTGGAGGGAGGGAATGGGGTGGAGAAGGTTTGATTTTTTGTGGTGATGGATGGGGAAGTGAAGTGTGTATTATAGAAAGACGACTCTTCATAAGACTTGTTTTCATGTGAAGAGATGGATTCGTGCGCACCGTTGAAAGAAATGGGACTGTACTACCATAAA